CGTTGGCCGATGCCCCTATCGGACTGCCTATACTATAGGTATATCATCCACACACTCTTCAATTCATGTTTTCCACCAGCGACGGACTGCGGTAACGTCGATAATGGATTCCCGGTCATCTCTGCGAAAAGTGCTGGTGGTGCCTTTATTGAACAGCCTAATTTCCAGCTTCGCCAGACCTTCCAGCAGAATGTGCCCTCTTGCATTGGTACATCTGTTTCCCCACTCCACTGCCTAAGCATGGAAGTCCCCTCCGATGACTACCTGTCTTCGTCCGATCAGCTCTTCGGTAAGTCCAACCAGCGTCTCGTGGAACTGCTCCATCGTCCATCGGGTGCGTAGCAACGGCATATGAATATTCCGTTAATTTTGGCGATCACGAAACCTTCTTCTTGAATGGGGTATCTGCCCCTAACTTGTATTGCAGCCATCCCAGCTCTATCCGCCACCTCGTTACCTTTATCGGAGGGACTCGATACTGCTGTGCAGTGTTGCAATAATTGAGGTTTATTTGAGTTACCTCTGTTATTGTTACGACAAAACAATTAAGTGTCATTTGGAGCGAAATGCTTGAGAATTCATGCCAAACCAGCAAAATCGTCAGGCTGACAAAATCGGGAAAATAATACCACTTGAGTTCCAGATTCTACAACCATCCAGTGCCTCCGACTTGGCTACTTCCCCTCGTGCTGGAAGTTAGCTAAAGTCATCCCCATTCGAACAGCTGGGAAGGATCCTTCCTCTCCTTCAAGTTACCGACCCATCAGCCTTCTCTCCAGGGTTATCCAAGCTGTTTGAAAAGGCAGTTTACAGCCGGCTTCTAACATCTGCGGAAGAAAACAACTTAGCACTTCTAGGGTCAGTCCACAGGTCTTTGAGGAAGATTTATATGAAAAGTTATAAGATCTTCAAGGAACCAGTGCAGAGGTCTTCAAAAGTAAGCTCATGGAACTGCTGGAGTTAGTCTAGATGTGTTCGTGGACAAGTTCTGAGGTCTTAAAACGTATGGCCAGTCCAGTAGTCAGTGAAGGAAAGTCCAGAGGAATTCATGACCTAGTCCAGAAGATTTCTAGAGTAAGTTCAGAGATCTTCGAGGACAAGTTCAGATATCTTAAAAATAAGCTTAAATGCCTTATAGGGTCTTTCCAGAGGAGTCCATAAACTAATCCTGAAGATTTCGGGGCCAGTTCTGACATTTTCAAGTATGTTTATATTCAGAGATCTAAAAAACAAGCTCAAGGAACTTCCAAGTGAGGTTTTTGGGAAGATTTCTATGACAAGTTCCAAGATCTTCTGAGTTCTTAAGAACAGGTTAATGGAACAGGGCCAGTTCAGAGGTCTTTGAAAGAGATTTCTAGGATAAGTGCTGAGATCTTCAAGCACAAGAGGTCTTAAAGCAAACTCAAGCAACTTCTAGGGTCAGTCCAGAGATCTTTGAGGAAGATGTCTTGTTCTAGTATAGTCTTCGAGGAACCAGTGCAGAGGTCTTCAAAACCAAGCTCATGGAACTGCTGGAGTCGGCCCAGATGTATTCGTGGACAAGTTCTGAGGTCTTAAAACGTATGGCCAGTCCAGAGGTCTAAGAAGCTGAGTCCAGAGGAATTCATTACCTATTCCAGAAGATTTCTAGAATAAGTTCAGATCTCTTAAAAACAAGCCCAAAGGCCTTCTAGGGTCAATCCAGGGGAGTCCAAGAACTAATTCAGAAAATTTACGGGCAAGTTCTGTGATTTTCAAGTATGTATAAATTTAGAATGCTCAAGGAATGGAGGTCTTTGGGGAGGATTTCTAGGGCCAGCCCAGAGGTCTTTGAGGGAGAATTCTAGGCCAAGTTCTGAGATCTTCAAGCACAAGCGGTCTTCAAAACCAAACTCCAGGAACTTCTAGAAACGGTCCAGAGGTCATCGAGGAAGATCCCTGTGAAAAGTTTTAAGATCTTCCAGGAACCATTGCAGAAATCTTCAAAAGCAAGCTCATGGAACTGCTGGAGTCGGTCCAGATGTGTTCGTGGACAAGTTCTGAGGTTTTGAAACGCAGGGCCAATCCAGAGCTCTGTGAAGAAGAGTCCATACGGGTTCATGATCTTGTCAAGAAGATTTCTAGAATACAAACAAAGGACAAATTCACAGGTATTAAAAACAAGCCATCTAGGGTCAGACCAGAGGAGTCCATGAACTAATCCTGAAGATTTCCGGGCCAAGTTCTGAGATGTTCAAGTATGTATAAATTCAGAAGTCTAAAAAACAAGCTCAAGCAACTTCTAGGGAGGTGTTTGAGGAAGATTTCTATGATAAGTTTCTAGATCTTCTGAGGTCTTAAGGGCAGAGATTTTCATCCACAAGAGGTCTTTAAAAGCAAACTCAAGGAACTTCTAGGCTCAACCCAGAGGTCTTTATATAAAAAGTAATAAGATCTTCCAGTGCAAAGATCTTCAAATGCAATGATCGTGGAACTTTTGGAGCCAGTCCATAGGTCTTCGTGGACAAGTTCTGAGGTCTTAAAACGTAGAGCTTCTAAGGTCAGTCCAGATGAGTCCATGAACTAATCCAGAAGACTTCCGGGGCAAGTTCTGACATTTTCAAGTTTGTTTAAATTAGGAGATCTAAAAAGCAAGCTCAAAAAACTTCTAGCGAGGTCTTTGTGGAAGATGTCTATGACAAGTTCTAATATCTTCTGAGGCCTTAAGAGCAAGCTTATGGAACAGGGTCAGTGCAGAGAGAGGTTTCAAGGACAAGTTCTGAGATCTTCAAGCACAAGAGATCTTAAAAAGTAAACTCAAGGAACTTCTAGGGTCAGTCCAGAGGTCTTTGATGAAGATTTCTATTGAAAATTCTAAGATCTTCCAGGAACCGATGCAGAGGTCTCCAAAAGCAAGCTCGTGGAAGTCAGTCCAGATGTGTTCGTGGTCTTAAAACGTATGGCCAGTCCAGAGGTCTGTGAAGTCCAGAAGAGCTTATGACTCTATTATTTTAAAAGCAATCCCAAGAAAATTATAAAACTAGCTCAGAAATCTTTAAGAAACAAAGGAGTTCAGGAACAATCTGAGATGCTTTGTAGCTCTTTACTTATAGGAAACAGTTCAAAGGAGACCGTAGACTAGCATAAAAAATCCAGAAAATCTTCCAGGGATAAGTTTAAAGGCCCTCAAAACATTGCTTATGGAACTTTTAAATTTAGTCTAGAGGTCTTTGAAAAAATAAGAAGTACAGAGGAGTTTATTGACTAGTCCAGAACAAGTTCTGATATCTTTAAGGGTAAGTACAGAAGTCAGCGGCGCCGGTGGTGTAGTGGTAAACTCCAAAGGGCCTGGGTTCAACAATCCCAGTCGGCACCGCCGGGATTTTCGAGGCATACATTCTCTGATCACACCTTCCTTCGGTAGATAGGTAGGGAACAGGTGTGGGAGCTGCCTCCCTGGCGTCGGAGATATTGGAACTCAGTACGGAAAATAAATCAAGGAAAAAAATAGTTCAGAAGTCCTCCAAAAGCAAGCCCAAGAAAATGCTAGAATCAGCACATGATCCTTTGAGAAACAGTCCAGAGGCCATTAATACCAGCCTAGAAAATGTCTAGAACGATCTAGAAAAAAATGTGATCGTCAATAAGTTACATTTGCGTCGTACTTTTTTTCTGAAAATCTGTACCTACATCAATTCTTTTCGAAAATTTCTACAATATTTTGGCCAAGACTCGTCGACGGAATGGATTTACTCAACCTTCATTGGACGGACGTCAATGGAAAGTCCTTACGCTTTGTAAATCCCATCTTCTACATGATTATCGGCCGATGAATCAATGGGCTTGAAAGGCAAGATCAGAGGTCTTCAAAAGTAAGCCGAAAGATCAGCCCCAAGGCTTTCAAGTAATAGACCATAGTTCATGGACTAGCCCAGAAGATATATAAGCCACATTCTGCGATCGTCGAGAACAAGTTCTGAGATTTTCAAGAACATGTTCTGGTAATGTGGCGTTCAAGTACTATTCCTCTTTAGAGGTCTTTCAGAACAAGTTCAGAGATTATCAAAGACAAGTTCCTGGAGCCTAAAGCTGAATACCCAGAGCCCTTCTTATTTCGAGAGATAACCTCGGCCTTTATCAAGGCAAGCTCGAAATGAAATCACTTAGATCGCTTTTAACATGATTATCAATCAGCCATCATGGCATCAATCAATTCTGGAACTGAAGTTTTTCGTCGAGAGCTACAAGACAAGAAAATCTCTATTCACTCAATGCTAAATGTCTAGTGACCAACAAGGCTTTATACCAGGACTCTCCGTTACGACAAACCTTCTCAGTTTCACCAAGAAATGCTTCAAGGAGCCGTGAAGCGAATGGCTCCTTCTCCAAAGCTATCACATCCTAACTGGAACTTTGCGCCGACCCTCAACCAAGGGTATCGATCCGAAATCGGCTAACAGGCATTTTTGATAAATAATTTAATGACCACAGTTTGTTTGTACAGACCACAAAATAACACCGTCAAACCCAACGGCTTAAACGGATACGCTTAAATAATCCCCAAAATAAACTAGAAACGTAAAACCTGCTATCGAATACGCTTTGGTGTGTCCTTCAACACGTTGATAACTGAAATACGATGATACGATATGACTGATTCAAAGCATGAATGAATGTTCGAGTAGCAACAGCAACAACAACAAGAATAATATCAAAGGGAACGTTAAGGAAAGGTAAACATCGACCCGCACAGCACGGAAATCAAAGAAAAGAAAAGAAAAAATGCTGATGGATGCAGCCAGCAAAATAGCAAAAGTAAGTAGACAGATAGTCGAGGAGAGCAGTAATAATCTAAATAACGGTGAGCCATTCGCTGAAAATGGTTGGTTGCGGGATGCTACGCGTGAGCAAAGACACGACACAAATACAGAGAAGTTATCAAGTGAACGAAAAACGGGAACTTTGAGGACGAACAACACTTCTAGAAGTCTAAAACGATTGATTCCTGAAGAAAATGGTAAAATTGCTCCTTCCGGCCTTACCGTGATTTCCTTGTCCTTTCATCCGCTGGAAAGAAAACGAGGAAGAGAAAAAGCGACATTAGTAAATTGTCAAGCCAAAAATCCAACTGCGGCGACCTGACCACCCACCTGATCTGACACGGTTGACATTGGTGGATTTAGATTTCGTTCCGGCTCCTGGGTGTCAACAGAAAAACAATATCAGTCCGTTTCCTCGAAAACTTGGCTTAAATTCCGTACACAGTGCACAGAGGAAAAATCAGTCCTTTCTGCGCTCTTCTTGTTTCAAATAAAAATCAAAACAACACAAACAAGAATCACACGCACAGTAAATCCAAGCTTTGTTGTTGGACCTTCTTCGAAGGGGGGCGCTTTCTGCTTTTGCTTTTTCTTCTTTCTCCTGCTGCTTCCCTTCTGCTGTCACACACTCGCACTTCTTGTTGTTATTCTTCCTGACGACGGCCAGAAAGACGATGAGCACTTTTTTCCCCTCTACTACTTCTTCTTCTTCTTCCTCTTTCACTGACGACGAGGAACGAAACACTCTTTTCCCTGTTGTTTCCTTTTGTCGTCGTCGTCGGCTTCTTCTTCGTCCACTCGCGGCGGGGAGAGAATTTTTTTCTTCTTGCTCGAATCGAGTCCGAGTTCTTCCTTCAAACACAAAAAAGAAAAAAGAAAACTCAGCCAGTCACCAAAAAAAAAGCCACAAAGGCCAATTGCAGGCACAGAACCGGGTGCTTTTCCTTTTTTTTTAATTTTCCACCGGAGGGCGGCCTTTCCACAAATTCCACTAAGAAAAGGGAAAAACTTTCCACAACTTTTCGCTGATGTGTTTTGTAGTAGCACGGCGACAAAGAGAGCGTCCGCCACCGCACAAAAAAAGCACTCTTTCCGTCCTGCCAAGAGGAAAAAAAAATTCCTGCTTCACTTTTTCACTTCACTATGCTTCCAGAAAAGAGAGGAACACGGCCAATTCCAGGCCCAAAATCAGAAATTTTCCACCGCCGAAGCGTCGCACATAAACCAAATCGAAACAGTTCGAGAAAATGCAGCTGAAAAACAGCAAAATGTCCTAATTTTCCACAAAACTTTTTCCACACCGCGAACAAACCTCTGTCCACTCAAACTGCTAGAGCACGTATACCACGATCACGGACGATTTGTAACGGGAGAGAAAAAGAAGTTTGTATTCCTCCCGTTCCGGCGACGGCGACGTTTTACAATATGGCCGCCCAGTGTCGCTATCTGCTGTTGCAGGAGAGAGATGGCTTCAGTCATTTGCCATTAGCTTGCACTGACAATAGGCAATAGCATTGTGGTGCAAAAAGGATAGGAAGATGTTTTCGAGAGAGCAATCAATTTATTTTCATTGCTGTTTGGTTGGCAACGGTTGTCAGTTTGACAGACTTTGCAAGTTTTGTTTGTGTTTCCCGAAACGGCTCGAATTGCCCATGCAACAGATAAACTAACACTTACGAAAATATTTCAACCAAGGGGCAAGTCAGCTTTGCTCAGAGTAAATAGTTTTGCAGCGAGTAAATTTGAGTAACTTAGATTTACTCAAAATTGATCAAAGTAGTCTCACCTTTATCAAGAAATACAAAAATTCAGTGAAAATTAAGAAGTTTAGACTTGTGTCATCTATCCTCGATTCCTCGCATCTATCTTATAATAAAGTCACTGAGAATCTGGTTGTTCATGTCGGTTTGCCAGTGGTAAAATATTATTTTTTTTTTATAAAATTTGATTTCAATGATAACAAACCTGTTTATTTCGAGGTTTATTTGCAGAATGGATCATATATAAGTAAAGGAGCTGTCCAAGGAGACAATTGAATTGAAAAATATGCACTGATGATTGTCCACGCAGGGGAAAGTTAAAATCTGAATCTTGTCAAAATCTGTCCATGATGATGCATGCGAACAATCCCTAATCGATTGAGCGATGCTATATAATTTAAAACCAGCAATTAAGAGAATAAACCTTTATGAGCAACCCTAATAAAAAATAACCATAAACGAACGATAACCCAAATCATTGAACTATTCCACAAATGCTTTGGATAATACCCAGAACACGTCGTTAAGCAAATTAACCATACAATTTTTATTAGGGAAGAGCAAGAGCAAGAGCCTCGGCTAGAATAAGAGCTTCAAATCTCACTTCAAACAACTCATAGTATATTTTTCGTTTTTAACGTAGATACGCTCCAATACGCTTTGTGTCCCGCTTTGTGTTCAGAATTCCTGCACCCAAAATTTGAATTTCAATTTGAATACATTTTTCCTTTGCACTTATTCTGCTTTGAATGGCAAATAAATTATAAAATGTTTAATAGCAATTTCTATGTTTTTGTTGAACACTTTGTTTTATTTAATTTATTTATAAGTCAATTAATTTTCTTTATTGTTGTTTTAATATACATTTTTCGAGGGGTGCGACACATCTAAATCTCGATTTTAAATGGTCGAAAAATCTCACACTAGCGAATCAATCTACGAAAAAAAAAATCTGCATCTAAACCCATCTACTCGCAGCGCCCTCAACTTTTTTGCAGGAAATCTTCAAAATCATAATCAATCGTGTTTCTATCTATTAAGCGCGAGTGCATCTCACAACAGCAAAACAGAAAATTTCCTGCATCTTAGATAGAGTCGCCCCCCTCGACATTTTTATAGTCTTCCTTTAATAATTCATCCTACGATTTCATTGTAAATCGGTGCCAGAGGAAGCTGATATGTGTGAGTATTAATTTCTTCCATTTTTGATTCGGCTCTGGGCGGCAAACTTCTACACACAAAAAATAATCGTTAATAAATTAAAAAAAAAACCATTGGTAAAATTAAAAGTTAGCGTTGGTTCTTTTTGGTAGAAAGTATTTATCATTCAAAACTAAAGTCCCCTAACTGTCAATTCAAAAGTAGCTCTCTTTCTACTTTTAAAAGTTGAAATTTCAAATCGAATTGTAGAACTGTCAAACTGAAAACCTATAGTTTTTAAATTGACGTATAACAAATTTTAATTCAAATGATAAGCATTTTAATCGCAATTACATACGTTTTTATCTTAAATTTGAATAAATTTTAAATCAATTACTTTTATTTTTTAAAAGAAATAACCAGGGAAATTCCTTTTATTCTAATTTATTTTTTATAATAATTATATTGTCCATTACAAAGCAGCAGAAGTGACGCTCCCGATGCTTTTACAGTATGAATTGTATTATTTTAAAGATTGATGATCAAAGCTGGAATAATTTGCTCCTGACGGACTCGGTGTGGGGGTACTTGAATGAAAGTGGCATCTTGATGGGGGTGGGAGTCGAGGTGGGAGTCGAGGTGGGAGTCGAGGTGGGAGTAAGGCCGTGGCCAGGGTAGACGCAACACGCGACGCGATGCGATGCGACTCACGCAAGGAATAATAATAAATAATAAGATTCTTTTGAATTGGTCCCCTGGCCGTAACCTAACCTTCCTTTCCGGCAAGACTGAGGCTGCTGAAAATTAAAACATCTCAATTAGAACAATCGGAAATTCATTGGAAATTATACCAAATTACCGTCAATTCCAGCACGCCATCATTGTCTCAATGTTATGATAGAGTTTATGTTTCATCTAACATTGCTTCCCTCCGTTGGCTGCTTTGACTATCACCTGCAATCCGATGAAAATGAATTAGCGGTGGCGTACCACTTTTTGGGAACCGATTCCAGTTCGAAAGAGATACCGACGGAAGAGTAATGTGGAAACGTAGAAAACACAGCAATATGGTTTATTTTTCACGCTTTCAAATTAAGCGGCAAACGAAGGTCAAGTGATGCCAAAATCTTCGCAATGACGAGGAAGTTGTGAAAGATCTGCGACTTTTATTTTAAAAAATTAACTTTTGAAATTACAAGTTGAAATTGAAAGAAACACTTTTAATCCGAAAAAAATGTTTTGATTTTGAATATTTTCGTTGTTAAAACTACGAAATTGGAGAAACTTTTAAATTGAAAATTCATTATTTTTATAGGAACAATTTTTGTTCTTTGTGTGTAGGAAGACCATCCACACGGGCGTAGCTTTTGGGTAACTTGAATTTAATATGCCATGCAGAAACCAACAAACAACCATTTGCAGACATGAAGTTTAAACGATACTTTATTTAGATTTCAATGCTGCAACAAAATTCATAATTCTCACATCATTCACTGTCCTCATGTTTGTGTTGGAATATACTTTCTCCAATTTATCATTTTTCTCGATAATTGTATGAAGCTGTTAAGATCAACGATAAGAATTATTATCTAATGCAGCACAACAATCTCACAACATCGAACCTCATTTAACTTATAGATGATGCTGTACTAGACATTTAACGATTCTGCATTAATCCACTAATTGAAATTATTTATTGTCAATTACCAGATGACAGTTGAGAAATTAACAACAAAAATCAGGTTGCTGTGAGCATTGAATATTGAGCAACATGAGTTACTCAGAGCTACTCAAAATCAACTCAAAAATCTGTCGTGAGGATGAGCTGTCTTGCCCGAGGTCTTGCCCCAAGATTTCAACAGTGAGCATTCATAACATGTTCATTAGACTGATGCAAAATTTGAAATTTTCGCTCCATAGTGCTCAAACGATTTCAAATCAGGTCCAGATTAGCCTTCCAAAATTTAAACTCATTTGGTAAGAAACTGGCTTGGCACAAACTATTCGAAGTTTGTATGGAAATTACTATGGTAAAACCAAACTTTTTGTTCATTGTCTTCTACCCATTTTTCATATTGCTTTTTCGAAAATTTCTATAACTATACGCCTTTTTAATAGAAACTAAACGATCGACTTAACTTCTGGTGGTAAATAGGAGAACGTCAAAAAGAGTGTTGTTAGCAAAAAATTTTGCCGTGAGACATAGGAAGCGGAACACTTTTTTACTTTTCCTGATAAATTGATTCATCTGAGATGCTCCAAAACTTGATTTACAGTTGAAAAATTTAATTCTGTATCGTTTTTGCAATTTTCATCAATTTCCTGCTAGTGTCCAGGAATATTTTTGTTGAGAAAAATGGAAAATTATAAAAGTGCCTTAGTGGTTATGATCTTCCGGATTGCTTGTGTGTGAATAGTTGAGGTGCTAATCAGTTCAGATGTGTGGAAAATCGTAAAATAAAACAATTACTGATGGAAATTGGAAAGATGTTCAATGAAAAATGCTTTAATCTGCGTTGGGAAAAATCCTTCTTCTGATGTAAACAAACGGTTTGGTTGACGTTTCCTCTCGAACTCGCGTGGTGCCCTCTACCTTGGTAGTGCATTAAAAAGGCATATTCTAACGGGAAATTTTATAAGGTACAACTTTGCGGAATATTGTTTTTCAGTCAAATGTCAAATTAAATTGTTATTAAGGTGATTCCTTGTAGAGTCCACAAATGGCAACCACGTAGGCTATAAATGCATTTCCACCTCGAATTTTCAATTACACACATCTAGGAAATTAGAGTTCCATTTCACCTGAAATTGCTACTGCATGTATTTTGGAGGCGAACCAGCCCAAGGCTGAAAGCCTATCTAATAAAGATAAATAATAATAATAATACTGCATGTATGCTGCAGCGCAGCAAACGTAGAGTAACAGTTTCATTGTAGTACGTGTCGTAGTTAATGTGAGCGATTGTATGACATTCCCCCGAAAGCCATTCCCCAGAATTCTATTCCCCAGAATGTACCATTCCCCAGAAAGCCATTCCCCAGAACGGACTATTCCCAATAAAACCATTCCCCAGAATGTACCATTCCCCTGAAAAGTATGCCATGTATAAGATTGACTATTTTTGTTTATTATAGTCACTCCTGGAATCTTCTTTCGCATGTATAAAGAGAATGGAAAAAAACTTCTAATGGATCAAGGCGTTTTCCTTGGCGTTTTCCTTTCTTTGAAAATATAAGAAAAGGAAATAATGAATTCTTTGGATATACGATGAAGAAGGGAATATGCTCTTCTTTTAATATATGAAAGAGAACATAATTAATTCATCAAATATATGATAAAGAAGGGAATATTCCTTTCTTTGAAAATATTACAAAAAGAAAGATTTAATTATTTGGATATACGATAAAGAAAGGAAAATTCCCTTCTTTGAATAAATAGAAGAGAACATCATTATT